AGTTATAAAAGTCCATAGTAGAATTTTAACTGACACTAAATATGGACTGTAATATAATAGAGTTATCCACGTTGGTCAAATATAAAACTTGAAAACTAAATATAAATAGAAACACTTAAACAAGTAAGAACTACAAAATGGCTTAGGGTTTTATGAACTTATGTCTATCGCTGGAGGATATCGTTTGCATTGGCGTTGAATATGTGCATGTCACTACAACAATTTACTGAAAAATTACATGCTAAATTATTTATTATTAGGCATTTATTAATTTTGAATTGATATTATATGAGTTGGAAGATTAATTTATCTTAAGTGGGCAATGAGTTGTTTGGGGCCTTGGGATGTTATATAATATACGATATACCTAAATTATATGTATATAAATATGTGTTATTATATGGCGGCCATTTGGTTAAAGTTAATAAAAAATGTAACTGTAAAACTGTAACTGTAAATTAATGTTTCTTTGTTTTTTCTCTGTAGACTCAAAAACTAATTGACCGTTTTCAATAAGAGTTATATCGATGGATTTATAGAGATTTGGAATGTGTTTAAAGCTTTTTTTTCAGCTCCTAAGGTTGATATAGGGTGACCCACAGTCTCATATATGAATTTTGTTTTGGTTAATTCGAAGATCAATTAAGATTTTTTTGTTTATTTAAATGGCTATCATTGGTTACAAAATATATTACTGTTTAAACTACCTGTTAAAAATATGGTATATAAAACAAAATACATTACAATTACCTAATATATATTATTTATATTAATATCAAACACTTATGAATACAATTGAATGGCCTCCCTGCCTCCCTGCCTCCCTGCCTCCCTGCAGAAAACGATTGCATGGAAGAAATCCCTTTATATTGGTACAATAATCATATAAATCCGATTATTTTCTTCTGAGGTATCATACATTTCATTAATTATTTTCTGTGATGATAAATGTGATTTTGATGGTTAGGTTAATGGTCTCCTTGAACAATTTCAATATGGACTTGCCTGGTTGTTGCAGAGAGCCTTTCAATTATAACAATGATTGCTTTTTAAGCTTTATGATATTATACTTTCTTAATTCTGAACATATTTTTGATGTAAGCTTATAAAGATGAATACCAATCATAACGGCATTGAAATTACGTCTACTTTTAAGTATATTTAGTCGAGTCTATCTCCAGGTTTTTGTGCTTACATAAACAAATATTTACAGAATTTATATTACGAAGTGAAAAATCGTAAAATTAATCATAATTGTAATATTGTAATATATTTCGACTGGAGCAAGACGGAAAACGATAGAAAGATGGATTAATTTTAACTTCTTGGAGAATTCGGGTGTAATACTGCAGCTAGTAGTACCTATATAAATACGGCAAGTTGTACTTAAATAAAACCGCTTATAAACCGATAGTTCGATGCAGCAATTATATATTGTCCCGACATCAACGATTTTTATTTAAAATATACATACTTTATAATATACAGGGTGATTCGCCAAGCATGCTTACCCCCATTCTTTCCTTTAATAATGAGATTATTAGAATTCTGATTATTTGAATTTTTAAATATACTTATAGACCATTTTTTCAAACTCCTGATTTTCTTTTGTATTACTTAAGGAGTGTTCTGTAGTGTTACAAACTTTTTTTTTCAAAGAGAACCCTAACCATATTACTGTAAATTGTGTGATGGATAATTTTTTTGAAAATTGTTATGTATCTATTTTGAAATTCAAACGAGAAGTTGTTCAGTTGTTAAAATAGTTGTACTAAGGTTAATAGTCATTGAAATTAGTTATAAAAAATATAAAAAAGATGTAATATTGGATCACTATAGTATTTATTATACTTGGGCCATTTTTATAGATTATTAATGTTGATGGATTAATAATTAATATTAATCACTAATATTTTCAAATCGCCGTAGCCCTCATATCTTACAAACCCATTATCATCTATTTTCCTTTGTAGGTATACACGATTAAATACCTAACTCAAAAACTATTAGTACTAATTTTAATTCTGATAATAGGTATAATATGTCTACATATTCAGAAAAATCGTCAAATAAATAATTTACAATTTGAAGGCGGTGGGGTTCTCATTTGAAAAATAGAAGTATGTATCTCCACAGGACACTCCTTAATCAGTACAAAAAAACTCTTGTAAATATTGTCTTTAATTTTATTTAAAAATTCCAAAAATCAGATTTTGAACGACTGCAGCATTATTGAAGAAAATAAGGGTAAGCATGCTTGGTGAATAGCTCTGTATATTATTTGCATTAAATATTTATCGACACAACCAATAACCGATTTTCTCATTATTGAGGCGCTGAACGTATTTGAATGATATTGGCCATCGTATCCATAAAAAAAAAAAAAAACTATAATAACATTTTAAATCGATCTTGTTGCAACGAACGGAGCTTATATTACATTCTTACGCTTTTATATTATAATATTATATAAATTATACACGCAGAGAAAAATTCTGACCCACTAAATAGCTTATTATTATTATTATTATTATTTTTCCTCCAACATAATATTATATGGTTGCAGCTCAGGGGCAATGGGGTTCTCCCGGATGTACGTGTCGCCTTAAGCCCTTAACCGGATTGTCACCAGAGTGCATTTATCCAAAGTTGATTTACGTACTCATTATGCGTTTAAGTGCACGTGTATTATACTTATATACTTACGAGTGTTATCGTTTAAGTTATCGTTTGAGTTATGTACTAGGTGTATTACGATAATAAATATCAAGGCAGTGACTGCAGGAAGAAAGGATAACTCGTGTCTTATTAGATTTACAGGTAAAACGCGTAGGTACCTACCTAGCTAAAGAGGCTACAAGAGTATGATATTATTATTAATACAGCACGTAGTACTTTAGAATGATACACATATTATACCGTAATCATGTTTAAGTGCAATACTCGGTAAATACTACCTTCAACTAGCTACGCGTACGACAACGAAGGGATTTTCTCTACAATATTGGATTTTTTTTTTAATTCTCAGAACTATGACAGGCTCTCGGGTTTTCTCTTTTACTCTAATTTCGGTCTCTATCTAAAATATTCCACTTTTATGAGAATACGATATAAATATAATACATCCATTACAATAAAACGTTTAGTCACGTGTAATGGAACTCGTTGGCAGAAGCTGTAGATAAGAAATTTATAAATTCATAAAAAAAAATTACTACCTACGTTTTAATGTTTTATTATACACATAGCGAACCACCATTTCTCTCTATATATATTTATATTATATACCTACTTACCCCGTTATAGAATTAATTTTACTTTTAGAAAATTGTTTAATTTAACAATTATTGCGAGTCACTTTATTGCCTGCATTCGTCCGTGTAACAATCGACGTCGACGTCGCTTCGAGGCCCGCAGAACCAGCTAAGGATCAATGTATTGTAATTTTTCAAATATTTGATAAATATTAATTTCTCAAAAGTACCATCAGGAGGGAGGGATAATATAAGTGTCTCTTAAAGTACAGTTTTGAAATACCTATTGTCATAATAAAGTATCATATATTATAATATTAAGGATGGGTGTAAACCTTACAACACAATTTTTAATAATAATTCAAATTAAATAATACACGAATCGGCGATAAAGTCACAAGTTTCTACAATAGTAATATAGAACATATCTATTAATGTTTGACAGAATTAACCTTTTTACTGACACGTGGGGCGGGGGTCTAGTTGACCTCTAACAACAATAAAACTTATATATTACAAAAAAAAAATGTGTATATTATGTTTCCGTGTTTAAAAAATGGTTTGTATGGGTAATTACGTTTAATCAATTTTCGTAAAAAAAGAAAGTTTTAAAAATATCTTAAACGGCTTAAAAATATATATCAAAATGTTAGTGAGTTATATTTATCCCCACGCAAATAAATTTTATTAATGTAGGTAATAATTTTTTTTTTGAACTTTTATTTTTATAATATAGGTACCTAATGTATATTATTATGTATTAACATATTATTTGTATATCATTTATTAAGCCATTATTGGTATTATTTGTCTTTGAACTTAAAAAATTTATCTTTCTGTACATATTTTATGTATTTTTAAAAAAAGGGTTCTGATAGACCACCTTGCAATTATGAACGTTAAAAAAGGCATGCGTCTGCTAAATACACGTCATTCTTGATCTCAAAGAAATACATAAAAAATTAATTCAAACGAATTCTGTTATAACTTATAGTAAAAAGTTTTGTTTATGTCTTAAAAATAATATTTTGAAGTTAAAGTATTAATTTAATAAAATTTCGAAGTTAAAGTTTTTTTTCGTTGTATAATTTTTATAAATGCACATAGTTTTGCATTTATTTTTGTTTTATTTTTTTATTATAACTTTTTTATTCATATTTGTACATTATATGGTTACATATTATGTCTTTGAATTTAAAAAAAAAATAAAACAATATCTATACATATTTTAAGCAGTTTTAGAAATGGGGACCACTATACGCGACCATGAACATAAAAAAAGGCACGCGCCTGCTTAAGGTCTATAATTATTATTTACAAGTCTGTATCATGACAATGTACAAAATGAGTTTTGATATCGGAGTTGAGTACTTACCTACAATATGCTGTTGGCCATTGCAGGTGGTCTTGAATCGTTGCCCATGAAAGAATTATTCTGAGCTAGACTATTCGGCTTAGTTTAAAACTGTTAACATTTGACAATATTTACCTTTTTTGTGTACTCTACGTCGTGTTACTGTGTGTTACCGATTTTCTCAAAAACTGTACTGCCAAAACATACATTTCTGGAGTAGATGCCGCTAAAATTATTTTGCGACCATTTTACAATCACTGCATGTTTTCAAACTATTTTTCACTGTTTACTCAAAAATGCTGACAGAAGAAAAGTATAGGGACATGGGATTGCAAAACCATTAGACGTTTGCTCCGTTTTGATTTCAACGCACCTATGGTCAGGGCACAACAATGGAGACCAATCAGATAGTCGTGATCGACACTAATGGTTTCTCTGGCTCAAATGTTTGTATTTTCTATAAAGGTCTCATGACAATAGAAAATGGTCAGTCGTCTGAAATAGTGAAATCCATTCCTGAAATCACAACTAATCGATATGACTGCAGATTGTATCGTCGCCTTTATGTAGTCATGTGCAATACTCGAGACTCCCAGTAAAAGTATTGAGTACTCAATAGACCTAGGTACCTAGGATATATTTACTTATGACTTCTACATTTATGAATAAGTATAAATTATTCAATTGTGATTTAAGAGAATTCATTTTACTATAAACTGTTTAATTTGATAACATTAAGCTGGTGATAAATCCTAAAAGAATCAGAACGATTGTTAAAAAATAGTTAAAACGTGGGAGTAATTTTGTATGTCTAAGTTAAACAAATTATTCAGTGTTTGTAGAATTTCATTATTTTGACATTCCTGCTGACACTGAATGGACTATTGATTAATAATGTTAAATCGGAAATCGGAAATTAGAAATTTCTATTTTTTTCAGAAATGAACTATTAGGTTATCATGCCATATTTATTTTATACTTAATATCTATTACATCTCATTTAGCCATTTCATATTATTATTATTATTATTATTATTGCACGAAAAAGATTATTATACCTTTGTTTACACTTGCAGTGCGGATTAATCAAGTTTTAAAATTTAATTTATTTATAGTTTTTCTTAATCAAAGAATTGGGCAAGATACAAGTGGGCGTTCCCCTAGCCCCCGGGTAAAGGCGTCTTATATGTTGAGCACACTGTTTTTCACGTATATATATTCATGGATTTCTTTCCTACCATCCCCCTAAGCCGATTTCGTATAACTATATACGACGAAAACAGGAAGAACAACAAAGATTTCCAATTCGGTCACGATCAACAACGAGTTACCAATATATATTTTTACGGTTATTTTTAAATGTTTTTGTATATTATTATGTTGTAAGCTATGCAGATGAAAAAGTGCGTACAACCGTGTTGCGTGTTATATCACGTAGTCATTATGATGATATTATGAACTAAAATACAGGATTCATTTTTAATACCTACAATTATCAAAAGATAAAAACATGTAAGCAAACATTTTTACCCGAACAAACATAATATACTGTATATGTTATTATGTGTAGTAAAGTAAACAAAGTAAAAAAAAAACAGACGTACACAAACAGATACACATTTCGTCACATACACACTATTATGACTGACACTAGAAAACGACAACATAATATATTGAATCTACAAAAATAAATTACATTTTCTATAAACAATAGCAATATATTAATATCGAACATAGTATTTATGCTCGGAAGTCAAAACGTTTAAACGCATAACCTAGTTTAATTAAACTAAAAATATAGAAACAATATTATAATAATATATAATATTTAGCTTAAAAAAAAAATATATTTACACTTCAATAAATAATAAAAACGGCATAGATGTTAAGAGTAAAAAAAAGCACACACATATCAGGATATAACAGAAATACTTGGCATAATATGAAAAATTAAAGTTGGTTACAAGTTAAACGTATGAAAAAAATTATGAAAATTATATGGATAGTAAATTAATAAATTATTTAAGATTAACTTCTTTCTGAAAGATAATATTTTAAAAAATTTTACAAAAATAAACTACTCGAATTAAATAGTTTTTTTAAAATTAGATTTACAAATTGGTTAAACAAATGTAATACAATTTGTTATTTTATTTTTAATATAAAAAAAATTTAAATAAAAATTGCTTACCTTACTTGTTATAATTGAGCGTCTATAAACTATAATATATAGGTATATAAAAAAAGGTTTAGTATTGTTTAGAACAAAAGTTATTTCATTTGTCATGTATTTACGTTATCTTGTATAATATAGAGCATTTAGAATAATGCGCATACAGATTGTAACACAATGAACTTAAGAATGTAATTAAATATGTAACTATAGGCTATAAAAATGTTTGTTGAAAAATGTTTGTAAGAATAATTACTTACTTACAGGTGCCTACATTAAAAAAAAAAAAAATATTGGTTTGAAAAAAAGTTATTACACATTTATAGTTAATAAATTACATTTGTTAGTCCTTTCTGTTACCTACCTATATAATTGGTACCTACTTAATGCGTAAATAAATCTTATTATTTTTAATGCCAAGGGTGTTTTTGGAAATGTCCATGATGTAATATTTATATATGCAATATGCATTTAGTGTTTAAAACATATTAAATACTTCTTGTAACTGTTAAGTATACGTGGGTATAATATTATGTATATAAGTCTTAAGAATTAAGTATAACGATTTATATGCATAATGTATTATAAAAAGTAATATTATTATATTTATTTCTGAAGTTAAACTGCTTAGAATTGTGTATACAAAAAATTACTCAAACAACTTGCGTGGTTTTTTTTTTAATTTCTTCTATAGGGGTGTGTGTTCTACTTCCTTTTTCCAACACTATCATGTTTAAATATTGAATTTTCCAATACATCTATTTGGCAGATTTTGAATTAATTCATCAAATCGACGAGATGTATTATTTTTAAAATGTATTGGAACCATTTGAGATGAGAATTTTTAAATTAAAATGACAAACATTATGTAGTAAATACCTTAATTTATTGCTTTAGTAAACTTCACTCTCTTTGATGGGAGCCAGCTGTAATGTTTTATTTTCATAATAGTTTGAAGCAATGATGATCATAAAAGTTCAAAAAATATATTTTACCAGTGGAAATTGGTTTACCCAAAAATAGTTTTGTCAATAAAACATGTACCGTAAATTTCATTGTTGCTTTTTTTTTTACTGCTTGTCTACAACTGAGAAATATTACTTTTAATTTTTTAAAGTTTTTTAAAAAAAAAAAAAAAACATTTGAAAAATTCAACTTTGTAAAAACATTAATTTGGAAATCGAAATAAACAATTTATAACGTTAGTATTGATTTATATAACTAGAAAATAAAAATAAAAATATTTTCCCGAATTCTTACAATGCAAATGAATACATTTAGTACGTACCTAAAATAAATTTGTCACCCGAGTTCTATTTTAATTTTAATTTTAAACATAGAGTTGGGTAACTATAACCTAATATCTCCGCAACTTATCTGTCGGTATGTCTACGATGAACATACTCGTATTATATTTTCTAGGTTTAATAATAAATTATAAATGTATATGAAACAGATAGATGGGTTTATGTGAGTTAATATTATTATAATGTAATACTCACGTGAATAGAAATATTGTTCTAAGCATTTTATATTCACTGTATAAAACTCATGTTATTCACTACAAGCGCCCTGTAACGATTAAGTTTGAAACGATTAATATTTTTATACACATTTAATTTAATTTTAAAAGCAATTTGACGGTTGTCGAAAGTAAAAGTTTTTACAATTTTCACGATGATTACTTTTTCAATTAGAACGAAATCGAAGGAAATAATTAACGCGAGTTATCGTCCTGTATCCGCTTTATAATATAGCGGTATAAAGTATAAACGTCATTTGTAGTTTTCTCAAGAACCTTGGCACGTAGGTAGGTCCCTATTATACGACGTCGACGTATAATAATCTACAAGGTGAAACAAAGAGACCTGACACATGAAATAGGCATTTTTGTAATCAATATTTAAACATTTTTTTTTTTGTATAAAATGTATAGGCGCTTGTGCAACAAAGTACAAGTACAGTAAAACATTTTTTTTTTTTAAATACTGAGCATAAAAAATTTAAAATTTTGATTAAAGATTTTTTGAAATAATTCTAAATAAATAATTTGTTAATCTAATTTTTAGTCAAATTTTTATAGTAAAAACGTTTATTTAAGTTAAGTAGTTTATTTTTTAAAATTATTTAAAGTATTAATACTTTTTGTAGTAAATTAGTTTGAAAAGTAGGTATACCTAATAGGTAATAATTATTTTCAAAATATTTTATTTGGGAATTTCCTGACATAAGTATATTTTTTTAATTATTTATTATCCATATAACTTTCATTGGACGTTTAACTAGTATTAATTGTTCTAATTTTATTTATTAGGTCTTTCTGTTACACCCTGTACACCAGTTATGCCCCCTCGATCAATGGGATGCGTCGAACGAAAAATAATTGACGTTCCTACATTTAGTATTTATCACTAAATAATAATATAAATAAAAATCGAGCTGCCGAAAGCGTTAAAACGAATATAATAATTATTACTCATGACGACGACGACGAATACCTATAAATAAAATATGAAGCGAAAAAATAAAAAACGCGTTTGCTCCGTTCGGAACTCGAAAATAATGATTACACTTATAAAATGTTTGCGAATGACACAAAATAAAATATAGGTTTTCGTGTACGGTGTATATCGTATATATAAATATAATATATATATATATATATATATATATATATATATACTATATTATTATGTACCAATCGTATGTTATCGTACGCGTCCGTATCACACCATATAATATAATAATAATATTATTGTTTATGAATTATGTGCAACCGATGGCTTAAAATATAACGCACACCCGTGGTTACGTTTTGTGGGCTGGTCGCACACGGTGTACGGGTAGATTAAGAGGCATCCATATCATGTGTTGTAATAGTAGGTAGTAATATAATATGCATACAGGGTAGTTCACCGAACATGCCCAGTACTGTTTTCATTCGAAATCTGACTTTTAGAATTTTTAAATACAACACTCAAAGGTTGTTTTTCCTAATATTATTTAAATATTTTGCACGGGTGTCGTTTTTATGGCGATATACAAACGTCTGTTTTTCAAATGAGAGCCCCTCCCTCTATTTTCTGTACACAATATTGTTTTATTTGATAATTTCTTTGAACATTTTGATGTACCCAATTCAAAATTCCAAGGGGTACCCATATAGTTTATCAGTTTCACAAAAAGGTCTATTCCAAAGATAATATTACAAGTGGTTTTACAAAAATAAAAAGCCGTCAACGGATGTAATTTTGGATATATTGTTTATTATTCTTGGACCTGAATTTGTACAAATGTTTATTGTTGACGGATTGATATTATAATCACTAATATTTTTAAATCGCCATAGCCCATCTTCTAATCCCATTATCATGGACCTATTTTCCTATTATCATGTAAAGTGTTACAACACAAAAACTACTCGTT